ATGTTCCAAAGAGCGGGGGCTACCGCAGAGAAGGCCCGCCTTCTGGACCCCGCTAGACGGAGTTCTTTTACTGAGGGGGTCCGAAGCATGCCCTGTGTGAATGGGTGGGACGGGTTGAAGTCATAGGGGAGAGGTGGTCCCCCCAATATAACTAGTTGTTTGCTAGTAATATGCATTCTTCTATGATTCTGAGATGAAAAAGCCATACTTTCATCTAGTAGGGTCTGGACAAGGCCTAGAACATTGCGAGGGTACCTAGAATCTAAAGAACAGTAGTTGAGGTATTCATGAACAAAAGGAATGTCAGCAGAAAAGATAATAGTCTGTAGAGACTTCCAGCTTCAGTTCCAGCTGCTAACAAAGCATGCAGTAATTTGACTAGCATTATGAATTCCAAATTATCTGCTGCTTTAATAATGACTAAACAATGACTGAAATTAGTATGTTTGACTACCAGGATCTGAAATTATTTTTGGAAGGAATGACCATCAACAGGCAACATGTAATAATCTCCTTTGAGTTATGTGTAAGCCAGTGTGGTGTTGTGGTAAAAATGTTGGTACAAGATCCAAGGAGACCCAGGTTAAAGTCTACTCTCAGCCATGGGAGCTCTCTAAGTGACTTTGTACTATCACCCACTCCCCTTCGGCTGAACGTGCCTTGCACAGTGACTGTTGTGAGGAAAAAAAATGGAGGAAGGATTTCTATGTATACTGTACTGCCTTGAGCTCCTGGAGAAAAGGAAGGGTATAAAATATTTTCAACTGCTAATGTAGTTGCCTTAGAGGAATATGTGTTCAAAATTCATCTTGGGGTTTTCATGTTTCCCTTAAACAATATTAGAACACTCTTAAGAACTTTATTGTAGCTCATGTTTATGTGATATCAGGCAGTACCTTTCTGGAAGGATAAATTAAATGGAAAGTAATGTGTTGTAGAGATTTGAGTATCTGCCCAGGAGGGCTTACAAATACTCAGTGTTTGGGCTATACTTAGAAACTCCTGTTTCTAAGTATAAATTAGTAAACATTTCACTGGAATGAAAGATGCAGATTTTAACATTTCTCTGGAACGGTCCCCCTCCCCCGGATATACAATAGGCCCCAACTTTTCTCACCTTTAAGAAAGCCAGTAAGACTTGGCTCTTCCTGTAAACATTAGGGGCCAGTAGAGTGGGAATCCTCCTGGAATTGTTTTGTTATGTGCTTGGTCACCATTATATATTTTTATAATATTTTGTTTATTTTTTATTGTTTTTAATGCTATGCACCACCTAGAGTCAGATTGTTGGGTAACCTTACAGATTTTAAAAACAAACAAACAAACTTGGGTCTTAAGCTAAAACTGGAATAGGTAATGGCTGGGACTGCAGAGAATAGGATGAGAATGACGGGGAGAATAGGAATAGAAACCACCCTGCAGAAAGATTACTTCCATTCCCAAACAAGCGTTCCAGAGACATTCAAGTTTTTTTTTTTTTAAAAAAACAGCTTCTATTGACTAATTGTAATTGTTCTTTATAGATGCTGCCTTTCCCCTCTTTGTCACAATGGTCACACATTTTGTGAGGAAAAACACTACTTAGTTTCAAGTATTTTTCTCTAAACTGAAGCAAAACAGACTAGAGACATTGTTTGGCATCAGATACAATCCTGGTAGCTTGTCATGCTGGATGGGTGGGGAAATTCTTACTACCTGTGGTTAGAAGGTGACTCATTAAGGCTCTTAATCCTGATTTTAGGATCAGGCAGGCAAGACTGCAGAGCCATGTCCTGAAAGCTGAGCCATCCATCCTTGCTGAAGGCTAGATATTAAGGCAACTGGGTTGGTGAATAGCAACAGAGACAAGACAACTAGAATTCTCTTTGCTCTCCTTTCTGTGCCCCAACTCTGCTACAGCATGTCCCCTTACCCTCTAGTACAGGTCTGGAAGAAGGAAAAAGAAAAAAAAGTGTTATTCTGTCTTTAGAATGATACCACTGAATATAATTCATGGGTTGATAAAACTATTTGCCAGATATCCCTAAAGATACTGACCTTTAAACTTTTCTTAAAATCTACCTTTGCCTTGGATTAAGTGTCAACTCTATAGTTTTTCAAAGGTACAAAGAACCATCTATATAGTCACACTAAAATTTCCATAAGAGAAACTCTTCCCCCAAAAGCTACAAAATGTCAACCTTTTACTGCAAACGCCATCAGAACATCTGTTGGAATTTACCTATCTGAACAAGAGTTAGCAAGGCAAGTGAGAAAGTCTAACAATGGGAATGCTTTCCTAATGAACAGTAGAACCAATTCCTATAGAATGCAAATTAATAAGGGTGAGATTTTAAAGCGTACTAATGGTGTTCTTTTTGGAGTTGTGAATAGATATATCAGACAAGACGACAAATTTACTTCAGCCTCACAGAAAATTGCTCTTTGGTTCTGCCTTCCTTTCCAAAGAAATAACCAATACAGCTAGGAAGATTCCCTTAGCAATCATGGGGGATGCAGTGCAATAAGGGGAGAACAATTATTGTTATTTTCCTCTTTCATCATAATAATGAATAATTATTGTTCTTTTTATTGAATAGGATGAAATTAACTATGAAGTAGCTGTACCCAGTCAGCTATCACCAGTATCTACAGGAGGAATAATAACCCCTCCAAAGAGCTCTGAAAAGTGAAAATACTGTATTGTGCAAAGACTGGGATCTCTATTAAGACTGAGTATACAAACTGAGTATACAAACTGAGCTTTTACACTTGATGTGGCTGAGAAGACTATCACGATGCAACTGAAGGACATTCACATGCAGCTGGCCTGGATCTTTAAGTTTGGAGCCCAATGAGACCTAGAGAAATTGGATGTCTTCTGATCAGTTAAATTCATAATTAACTATGGATTTTTAACACTTAAAACTGTCTTAAGTGACTTTCAATTTTTTAACAGGTGCAACTGAATCGGTCAAGTTTAGCTATGTGTGAGCATAGTAGAACTGTTTTGCCAATTGCCTTTCAGGGTGTGCTGGTTTTGGATAGGATGAAAGACTTCTGCCCTGTGGTGAGAGAACACTGAGTTAAGCAGTCTGAAACTATGGACTCAACAAAGTGAGTCAGTTTTCAGTTTGCACATCAGTGTAGCCACAAAGTAAAAACTTTTATATTAACCTTTTTAACTTAAGGTTACTAAGCCAACATTCCTACTTTCATACACTTATCAGTGTAGCTATGGAATGATACCGAATTGCCTTAATATAAAGCATGAGTAGGGAGTGAAAAGACTGAAAAACTTTACTTTTAGAGGTAAAGAAGCAGTTTAAGAATTTTCCACTTAAACTGGAACATCTTCAGTGAACAACTGTCATTTTCTACCTCTTTCCTCATGAAGTGCTACTATATTTTCTACAAACTAGCTATCTACAATGTGAGAGAAACATAAAAGACTGGATTGCAACAAGGATAGCTTAAATGCTAAGGAGAGCTATACTCTGTGAATAGTAGGTCATTCTTCCTTACAACTTACATCTATTTTTTCACATGCAATACAGCAGCTAATCAATTCTGTATACTTGTGCAAAAATGAGGAATTTTAAGTTTTATAAATAGGACAATACCACACAGTATGTTTATAAATATGTATTATAAAAATTCTCATGTTAAATAAAGTGTTGAAATATCTTGCAGCTGACATCTTTCCTCTCCTTATATTAGAAAGAGAAAATAAGTCTAAAAGTAAAGCTTTGCCATTGCTTGAAGAAACTTCTTTTTTCGTCTCTGAGCAGCAAGCTGTAATACTTCTTCTGGGTTGCTAGAATTCAGCTCTGTCTGCCCAATAGCTTTAATCTATGCATACAAACATCAACAAGAACTCATTTTAGTAATATGTTCTCATTCACATTTAGAACATTTTTGCCAATGAGAAAAAAGGGTGAATTTTTTAATGTAATAGTTTCACACATACACCCCTGCAATATCTTCTCAGAAATATCTTACAGTATATGGATCTGTAACAACTTACTGCTATCTGCTTCTTGTCTGTCTCGCCTCGCTTATGATGAAGATCTGAAACACCATTTAGGAAAATCCAGTAAAGAATGATCTAAATTCTTAAGACATAAGATTATTTGTAAAGCAGTTTAAAAGATTCTTTATCCTAACCTTCCACCCCATTGTCAGAAACCGTTTCCTTGAGCCTTCTGTGAGCCTAACGCTTCCTCTCATTTGCAAAATGAAAAGTCAAGGTTCTAATCTTTTAAGACATGGCTGTTTTTAGACAGAGCAATGGACTTCCTTATTTTGTGCTATCTCTCTGCTACACTTCTTGCAAATGCAGTTATCACTACCAGTTTATATAATATCCAGATTGTTACTTAAGCCATTCTGATTTCAAATCAGTCCCATGTAGCTTTTTAAAATAAAAGGATACACGTCAAGTATTCCAAGATAGTAATATCCCAGATATAGTCATAATAAGAGTCCATAGCATCATGGCTGGAAAACAGGGTTTCAGTTATTTTATGTCATTAATGTATATTTATCTGGCAAGTGAAACTGTAAAAATCTTGTTTACCTGTTTTGCTCCTGAAGTGCTTTAAATGCAGTTTTATAATCTACTTCTCGAAGGAACTGGCACAAAATTGCTACCTGGTAGAAAAAGATACGCTAATATATAACTTTGCTCCAAGGCTATTATATCATGATTATATAATAATTTACACTACGTTGCAGATGAATGCATACAGGCTTGCTTTTTTGGTAGTATTTCCTTCTTCATAGTTTTCCCAGTTAATAGATGGATATATATTCTTACCTGCGTATGGCAATTGAGCAGAGAGCAACATTTTATCATTCGTTTAATCACCTAGAGAGAAATACACAAATTAAGGAAATCTATAATGTATCCATTTACATGGTACAGCTACTTGTATGGAAAACTGAATATACAGTGGTACCTCGGTTCACGAACACTTCTGTTCACGAACAATTCGGTTCACAAACAGCTTTGTTCGCAAAATTTTGCCTCCCTTCGCGAATGCTGGATCGGGTTACGAACAGAATCCGCGGCCATTTTCCCTCCCGTGACACGTGGTCGCAGCTTCCTGTAGGGAGGAATATCCCTCCCTCCAAGCAATATCCGCCTCCCCACCTGCCTTCCTGTCCTCCACGCCAGAAGTCGCGTCGAGCAAGGTTAGCTT